AACTTGTTTTGGGCTAACTTAGTCCTAGAAGTATATTTATTAATAAACTGCTAGTATACTTATATCATTGTATATAGTAAATAAAAGTACACTTAGGGACATACACTTGTACATATTTAGTATACTTAATGACAAATACTTAAAGTATACTTTTTTGGCAAGTTTATAAACATAACAGTATACTTAAAAGTATAAACTACATCACAAGTACATGGTGCCTATTATACTTGATATACTTAAACTTATACTCAAGTATACTTATTAAAATGAACTTTACTACTTTTTGCTGGGAGAGAGAAATGAGGGTATTTTTATTGATTGATTAATTTTTGGTCTGTACATGTTTGTGTTCATTTAGAATCAGTAAAATATCTCATTTTAATGAGACTTTCAGAAACTAAACACAACTACACACAACTGCACCTGAAAATGAATCTAATTCAAAATGGCCGCCACAGTAAAGCAGTTTTAACTCAGTCACGTCTTCGTTTAAACTTTAAGGTGGTGACATGCATTCCTTATTGATTTTGTTCTGGTCCGGTGTGTGTCACTGAGGACCTGCCCTTCAGTGTTTCACCACAATAGTTTCAGCCTGTGGATTACTGTAATGGGGCTAGCATCCCCTCATACGATCAGCCACCGGGGGTCCGTGGCCTTTTAGCTGAGTTAGCCTCTCCTCCACTTGTTTGACTGAGAGCTAAGCTGCAGAAGGATTAATCTCTTATTGTTCGTGTCTCTGACGGCATCGGCACTAAAAGAGGCCTAATTGATGTCGCCGCCTGCTTACTGAAGACCCCCAGAGGATGTGGAGGATTTGCTCAAAAGTGGCCAAACTCTGAGAGAAAATAACCATAAAAGAAGAAATATTATAATTCATTATATTTTAAATGTAGGAAGAAAAGAGTTGGAAAGAACTTTCAGTAAAGCAGTCAGATATTCTAGTTAAAAAAAAACAAATCCAGATGTTTAAGTCAGATTTTTCCTGTTTTTCAGTCACAAAAGGCCAAAATAACTTTTTTCATTGATTCTTTTCTGATTGCAGAGAGCAGCAGAGCTTCAGAATAAAAGCATGAGGAGAGCACCACCATCCCTCAGTCCCGACCTGACACAAGTAAGATCTGATATTTACTTACTGATAAATTAATCTTCAAACCTCATGATGATGGTTTTGACAGTTTGTTACAAACAAACGCATAAATGTTTGCTTCAACCAGTCTATCACCGTAAACACAGCTGTGTTGTCTGCACGCAGGAGCTTCTCAGAGGAATCAGTCAGATGTGTTAGAGATGATGTTGAGATGTGGGAGCAAACCGAAGAAAAGGAAAAGTTAAATCATTTTGTTAACTTGATACTTAGAGTTGTGTGATTGATGCACTGACTGCATCAGAGCTGTGATGAGTGCAGTTGTTGCAGACTGAGATACGAAATATGGAGTCAACTGTATGGAGGGCCGAAACTGACAGAATTAGAAATAAAAGGCAGAAATGTATAACTGGACCAATAAATAAAAAATACACTTAAATGCACCAATTAAAATAAAAGAGATTACCTCATGTTTTATAATTTAATTGATCTTCATATTTATTTTTCCAGCTTAGTTCCAATAAATTATATATTTTAGCACATAATTTACATTTTACTGTTTTGAAAATAGATTATTTTTTGTTTTTCTTTTTACTTGTAAATGCATCCGTGTCTCTTAAATAATTATATTTTTAGTGTTTTCTCCCACAAGTCTTTTTATTTCCATGTGTTTTTACATTTTTCTGTCTCCTGTTTTTTCAGTGTTTCTTATTAAATTTTTATTTTTATGTATTTTTATTCTTTTTTTCTCTTTCATTATTGATAGATAGGATATAAAAAATAACTATCTCTATCAATCTCTATCACTATATCTATCTATCATCTATCTATCATCTATCTATCATCTATCTATCTATCTATATCTAATTAAAGTGGGCGGAGCTTCTTGGGTCAGCTCCTCTCCTATTTGTCAACAGACAGAAAGTAGGAGGAGCCATGTGCAGATCTACTTTGTATGTTTGTGCTGCCTCAGTTTAGCTTCAAGTTTAAAGTTATTAAAAATTATATAATAAATTAAATATAATCATTTCAGAGACAGAGATGCACGTACAAGTAAAAAGAAAAAGAAATATATTTTTTAAAACAGTAAAATGTAAATGATGTGCTAAAATATAGAATTTATTGGAACTAAGCTGGAAAAATCACTAAATTAAATGATAAAACATGAGGTAACATTCTGTTTTTAATTTAATTGGTGCATTTTAAGTGTATTTATTTATTTGTTTGTTCGTTCATTTTATTGGTCCATTATATTTTTAATTATGTCAGTTTCGGTCCTCCATAGCAGTGTGTGTGTGTGTGTGTGTGTGATGTGACGTCTGCATTAAGAAGCAGCAGAAACAAACATGAACTGATTCTGTTGATTGGAACAAAGGGTGACTCTGTGTGTCAGGGGTCTTCACAGAGGAGGAGCTGTTTGTTGGCAGTAGATGTTAGAAGATAATGAGAACATGTTTCCATCAGACATGTTGAGTAATCTCTGACATTATCACATCAGCTGTAATGAATTCATAAACTTGTTTTTCCTGCACTAAACTTCCAACTTTCCAACAACTGTTGTGTTTTCCCCTCTTCACTTTGGATCAGAACAATCTCCTGTAAAGCAACATGATTTCCCACCTGCTCACCAGCAGCGGGCTGGATTTAAAGCAAACAAATGAATAAATGATTTTTGTGTCGCGCTGCGGCTCTGACTGAACAACTGATAAGTCAGCACTCACAAACACCAGCAGCTCCTCTACATCCAAACACAAAGCCTTAACTTAACGCCACTGACAGATGAATGGCTCCCAGCATGGCCAGTTGATGGGGAGATAATTAAACACGAGAATTATTTTCATCCTGGGTCAGCAAACGCTGCGTGTGTGCGTGTGTGTGTGTGTGTGTGTGTGTGTGCGTGTGTGTGTGCGTGTGTGTGTGTGTGTTTGTCTGTGTGACCTGTTAATTGGGTCATAACTCAGATTTTTGTTGTTTTCTGCAGCTGATGTTTGTTTTAACAGTGAGAGAGAGAGCATAAACTCTGACTGCAGTGAAACTGATTTATTCATATTAATGTTTTATTAACTTTGTTCCTGAAAGGTGAAAACGTTAAACTTTATTTCAATATTCAGTAAACCCTCATTGCATCCTTTACTGTTGAAGCCTATTGTGTGTCTCGTATCAAATACATTTGAATGAATTTACAGTTAGAAACGGATCCTCTGAGCTGGAGTCACAAGAATGAACCAAAAATTCTGACACATTAGTAAAACACCAACACGCAGCAGGAAATATGGTGTGAGTGGAGCCGAGAGTGTGATTGTTGTGTACTGAGTGAGATCATTACTGAGAACATTACTTTCTTTCTCACATCCTCGACATCATCAGAGTGTTTCTAGGTCTAGACGTTTAAGGGGCTAGGCTAGGTTAGGTTAGGTTAGGTTGGGTCAGGTTGGAAATGCCTGAAGAGAGAACCAGTTTTAGACCTTAATGACAACTTTGTGACTATTTGGAGAGGAAATGTTTAACCACCCAGTGAGAAAGCACCTAAAGTTAATTTGAAAATGTACTCGTTGATTTGGCTTTTTGTCCTCTGTCGCCAAGTCTGTTGGTCTATCTGTCTCTACGTAGGTCAGTCCGTCAGTCGATTGGTCGGTTGGTTCGTCGGTCTGTCGGTCCTTAGATCTGTTCGTTGGTCGGGCTGTCGGTCGGTCCGTCCGTAAGTCTGTCGGTCCTTCGATCCGTTTGTCGGTCAGGCTGTCGGTCCTTTGATCTGTTTGTCGGTCGGACTATCGGTCCTTCGATCTGTTTGTCGGTCGGACTGTCGGTCCTTCGATCTGTTTGTCGGTCGGACTGTCGGTTCTTCCATCTGTTTGTCGGTCGGACTGTCGGTCCTTCCATCTGTTTGTCAGTCGGACTGTCGGTCCTTCGGTCAGTCTGTTGGTCCTTCGATCTGTTTACTGGTTGGGGTGTCGGTCGGTCCGTTGGTTGGTCGGTCCATCCGTCGATCTGTCGGGCCTTCGATCTGTTCGTTGGTCAGACTGTCAGTCGGCCCTTTGGTTGGTTGGTCCTTCGGTCAGTCCTTTGATCTGTTCGCCAGTCGGTCCGTTGATATGTCGGTCGGTCCATCTGTCCGTCGGGCCTTTGGTTGGATATCGGTTACAATTTCAGAAAGCTGTAACTTTCACTCAGAAAGGCTAAAATACACCAAACTTGGTATGAGTCATCCATGTAGCACGCCCGACCATACCATGTAGTCATATACCATCATCAAAGACGCCCCCTGACAACAGGAAGAGACTTTTTATTTTTTTTGCTTGGAAAGCTCCTCCTCTGACCCTCCTGACTTTTAGATGAAATATGTGGTCATGACAGTGTGGACATCACGCCCTTGACATACGTTTGACAATTCCCTTTCTTTCAGCCAATCTGCACCCAATTCACTATGGTCGATCCTAATCCACCTCACTACAGGAATGCAGTCCAATTTTTTTAATGGTGGGGGGGCTGCTTTAATTCCTCCCCAGCATCCCCTACAATGATTTAAAAAGTCAGCCCCAAGCCATGCTTAGACCTGGAATCGTGACATTCGGTACACATGTGTAATGTCTCATGATGAGTCATGGTCCAACCCCCACAGGAAGTCGGCCATTTTGGAACAAATCTGCCAATTTGTGTCTTTTCACGCACATGTATCTGAGCTAACTTCCCCTCCAGGTTTAAACATGCAGACTTCACATGCTGCACGCTTCTCTCTACACTGATTGGTGGCGGGATGGTGTGGGTGTGGCAGAGTGGAGAATGCTGATGCCTCGCCGTCTGCACACAGTTAGCTGTAAATCACAAACATGATCCAATCTGCACCAGATTTTGTGTGCATCATCAGGGAGACCTGCTCATCATGTTGGTGTATGAGTTTGACAAGATCACTTTAGCCCCTCGTCTGGCCGTCTGCTCACCTGATGAGATGATTTAAATAACTATCAAATAATAATGATGTTTAAGTGAGCATTTGGAGGGAAATAATGTCTGAATGAGGAAGGAGATGATATAATAAGTTCGTATTATTTTTTCGTTTTTCTTTTTCTTTTTTACTCCTGCCAGACAAGAACTCAAAACACCACCGAGCTGATCAGGAGGGGGCAACCCAGGTTACCTGAGAGCATTGTGTACGTGTGTCTGCAGGTGAGAAGGCAGAGAGAGAGACTAACACAACTCTTCCACCCTGAAAATCCTCCTGACACAATGTGCTTTCTAACACACACACACACACACACACACACACACACACACAGCATGCAAATGGCTGACTTCTAAAATGGCAAATGTTTTCTGAATTGAAAGGTTTGGCTTATTTTCTCCCTCAGAGGATCTGAGCCAAAATGAGTGACTGCCTGCAGATTTTTCTGTGTGTGTGTGTGTGTGTGTGTACTTCTTTACACCCTTCCACTTCCTTGGCATGTCTTGAAATGGTAGTTGTGCCGTTCTGGTCTGTGTCATTGGTGTAAAAATGAGGAAATGTGTGTTTGTAATGTGCTTTATATAAACTCTTCCTCCAATGATTATTGTAGAAAAACAGATACTAAATCTGAACAATATTTTTATTTTTTGGCTTTCTGAAAACAAATATGATTGTTTGTCTGTGTAATAATTATACAAATACGTAAAAAAGACTTAAAAAAGAAAGAAAAGGTGTTTGTGTTTGAAGCCAGATTTCACAGTGAATTCAACCTTGGTCATGGGGTTTGGCCACCGGTCTTTAAGGGAATACTTTCTCAAATCAATAAAAACTGTCTCAATGGAGCATTGCTCATCTGTTGCATCATGTCTGATTGAATAAAGAAACACTGGATGGCTGCTGTGAGATTCAGTCCTCAATCTGCAAAATACTAGGAAAATGTGGTGTTGTTTTTATGTTGTATTAAGATTAAACAGTTTGCTAATGCAGACATGAAATAGGAGGGGGGGGGGTTTGAAGGGATTGTTCTGGGGAGTAGACTGAACAAGTTTTGACCTCCTAGATGCTGTAAAGAGAATGTGAGGATTCAACGAGTCAGAGCTTTAGATTTAGGGTCTTTGATGCTCTGGAGTGGCTATTCCATCTAAATAAGACATCCGTCCATTTTCCTCCTCTTATCCAGGGTCAGGTCTCGGGGGCAGCAGTCTAAGCTGAGACCCAGACTTCCCTCTCTCCAGCCACTTGGACCAGCTCCTCTGGGGGAACCCCAAGGTGTTCCCAGGCCAGCTGAGAAACATAGTCCCTCCAGCGTGTCCTGGGTCTTCCTCTGGGTCTCCTCCCAGTGGGACGTGTCCAGAACACCTCACCAGGGAGGAGTCCAGGAGGCATCCTAACCAGATGAACCACCTCAACTGGTTCCTCTGGACGTGGAGGAGCAGTGGCTGCAAGGGCGGAGTGGGTAATCGGGAGAATCGGGACGATTCCCGCTGGGCCGCATCATTAATGGGCCGGTCCCCTGGGTGCAGTTAGTATGGGGGATGCAGATCCACAGATTTATGTTTCACTTTGGTGAAATCTCCCTTCTGGATGTAACAGAGTTGATGCAATCCACTGTAAAAGTGACAAAAACAGACAGTTATTTTATTGCAGTGATTAATTTGACCTATATGTAGAAAATGTTACATTTACATCACGTCATTGATCAGATGCTGCTGCTGACTGATCCATTATGTGATGTAAATGTAACATTTTCTACATACTGTATAGGTCAAATTAATCACTGCAATAAAAAACTTTGTTTTTGTCACTTTTACAGTGGATTGCATCAACTCTGTTACATCCAGAAGGGAAATTTCACCAAAGTGAAACATAAATCTGTGGATCTGTGTTTGATTACTCTGCCTGGCTTTCTCAAGGACCAGGATGTGACACAAGTTCAAGTTTATTTATATAGCGCCAAGTCACAACATACGTTGTCTCAGGGCACTGTGCATAAAAAGAGTAATCTAAAGAAGAAAGCAGCAGATTGTGTTGAATCACTTCATCACAGTCTCCCATCCTGAGCAAACGGTGGAGAGGAAAAACTCCCTGCTAATCAGGAAGAAACCTCCAGCAGAACCAGGCTCAGGACAGGAGACCATCTGCCTCGACCGGCTGGTTGGAGGACAGGAAAGAGACACAGACAAACACAGAAGAACTGGTCCAGGACTGGTCCAGGTGCACCTTCTTCTGGAAGAGACAAAGAAAAAACATGATAGAAATAATAACAATAAACATGTAGAGAAGAGAGACTAAAGACAACAGCAGAGTGAGGAAATGTGCTCAGTTTGTGCTCCAGCAGTCTAAGTCTATAGCAGCAGAAATGAAGAATAATTCAGGAAACCTAAGTCTAACTGTAGGATTTATGAAAAAGGAAAGTCTTCAGTCTAATCTTAAAAGTAGACAGAGTGTCAGCCTCACGGACAGAAACTGGAAGTTGGTTCCACAAGAGAGGAGCTTGATAACTGAAAGCTCTGCCTCCCATTCTACTTTTAGAAACTCCAGGAACCACAACAAACACAAAAATCTGAATTATGGAACTGAAAGTGAAAGTAGTCTAACTGAATTTTTAATAAACCAAAATAGTTTCAAAGCAAATTAATTCAGATAAAAAACTTTAAATTCAGTTTCAACTTTGGAAAAATCATTTTCAAACCAATGTATTAAATGTCAAATTATGAACATTCAGATTCAATCTGAGAAATTCAAATTCAGTTCCTGCAGGCACAAGATTTATCACATAAATAAATCCTGAAACGTATCTTGTAGCTTGTGAGATATTTTGCTAATACATAAAAACAAAATGGGCAGTTTGGAAACACTAAAATTGGAACCATGGGTTTTATGGAGGCTGATAGAAACACACACACACACACACACACACACACACACACCAGTTTAAGAGGCGTGTTCAGGGTCAGGATGGACGGAGGCTCCAGTGACCTGATCTCCTTCTGATGACATCACATAATGTTTGCCGGCCGGCACACTTTCCGGCTCAGAGTCTTATTTTCCCGCTCAGGCTAAGCTCCTTTGTGGTGATCAAAAAGAGCAGCGTGGGATAAAACCCGAGCAAACTGCTGTCCTGTTTCCATGAAACCCTCACAATGTGCACACGCTTAAAAGCTTAGACCGTCCTGATGCGCCGCAGACAAATCTAAGTGGAGGATTTTCCTTTTTCTTCAGCTCTTACAGCCCCCTCCCCTCCTTTGTCCCCTCCCTCCCTCTTTGTTTGCACATTTTTCCACTTTGTGCTGGAGTTTCTCAGGACGCTCAGATGATCCCGTGTTCGGGTTTTACACTAAGATCCAGCGCTGAGTGTGGATCTGAAGCCACGGAGGAGCCTGTGGTTGGAAATGTCACAACTGTCCCTCGTGACTTCCTGTTTTTAAAACGACAAAAGACGTCCTGCTGTAGCCCAGAAGTGCTGACTCGTCATGTTTCTAAGACGCTTACAGTTGGGTGGAAGCTGACTCGCTCTTGTTTGGCTGCAGTTAAACCAAAGATTATTGGACTGAATGCAGTTTTTTTTTTTTGTCTTCTGTTCTTCGTGCCTCTTAATGAAAACACTTGTCCAGAACAAACCTTTGTCTCTGAAGCACTGAGGACTTGGTGATGACATGCATCACTAACAAGGCATCAAAACAAAAACTTTCCTCCCGTTCTGTTTGTGAAATGAAATAGTTTAAAGTTCTCTTCAGAATATTAATAACTGAGGTTTAAAATCTGTCTGAAATCAAAGTATCGGAGCTGAATTTTCTCTCCGAGTAATAAAACGAGGCCAACGCTTTGAAGACGAGCTCTCTGTGGACCTGTCCTCATAAGCATCACACTAAGGAAAACTGCCATGTTTGTTTACCAGGGACCAAAGAAATAAATACGTTTCGCTTTCATTTCTCTTTAATTCTGCTGAGTTCTGAACAATAAGAGCAAAGAATAATAGGAATGTTGCTTTAGTATGGATTTAGTAATTATTAGGGGTGCAACGATACAGAAAATTCATGATTTGGTTCAGTTCAATACTCTACGTTTTTTGATACAAAACAAAATTGTCCATGCCCTTCTTAACTTGTAATTTATTTAAATTAATGATGAACATTTATTTAAGCTCAAAAGTACAGTTTTTAAATTAAATGTTGCTGAAACAGCAAGTTTCTCAGTGGATCTGCGCTCAAAAATACAGCCTAGGTGGAGTAGTCGAACACAGATCCACTGATCCTTCAACACAGAGCATCTTCAGAAGACAAGCTGATAAAATAAGTTAAACATCTTTATTGATCCATACATAATGTGTATTGAATGGTTCCACACAGATATGTGGATTGATGCACTCCTGGTACAGGTTTCACCTGCTCCCCATGTTTGTCTTGTATGTCTTCTTGGATGACCCCCCCCCCCTCCCCTGAATCTACAGCACCTTGTGAATTTATTTCTCTGAAAGGCGCTATATAAATAAAACTTTACTTACTTACTTACTTAGTAATAATTGTACCTGATTTTCTGTCAAACAATTTAATAAAAACCCATCTAAAGTTCAGTATTTGTAAAATCTGAACCAATGTTTCTATTAAAGGGGGCATAAATATTTATTTTATTAATGCCACGAACAAGTAGTCTAAATCTGAGCTGACACTTTTAAACAACAGTCAGGGATTAGAAAACAGAATATGAGCTTATATCTGCTTTTAAACACAGGAGGGAATTATTGTATTAAAGAGAGAAAGGAATTAAACCATTAGTGGCCTGACCTTTTTAAAGGCTTTAGAATAAAACAGTGACATAATTCTGCAGATCCATAAAAACCTAAACGAGCTCCAGTTCAATGAAAATCAGTGACACAACCTGCTTTGTCTCAACCATAAACTGTATTTTGTACAAAAATCAACTGTAAATGTGTTTTTTATCGGTTCAGAGGGGAAAAGGATTGAATCAAGTTGAATTCTGTTTTCTTCTTGTCAGTAAGTCAAAAAAATCAATGTTCAGATTACTGATGTGATCAATATTCCAGCATATAAACAATTTAATGTTCTCCTAAACTGATCAAGTCAACAAATATGTTCATGCATTTTTTTTTACTGTGATTCTCCTCAGAAATAATTAAACCTGGTTTTATTCAGTTGAACTGAATTTGGCGCATTGTTTGCTCACAATAAGTCTCAGTATCTTATCTTTTGAAAGACTTAAATTTAAACCTGAGTTATGACAATAAGCATCCCCAATCTGTAAATCACAGCAGAAACAGGCTTTTAGAAAACT